TTTTTTAGTATATTACTTGTGTGGTGTAGAAGAGAATTATTTATGTAGAGATACTGCTTGCAAACCAATGACGTAAGATGATGTCATGGGGTAGGACTGGATATGTCTGACTTCTTCCTACTCCATTCAAGCATGTACTAGGTATAAGCACATTGATATTGGATTAGCATTTGTTGGATATGTGTAAAATTATGTGTGTTGTCTTATCAACTGTCTTTACATGCTTGAAAGAATAAATAAATAAATAAATAAATAAATAAATAAATAAATAAATAAATAAATAAAAATAAATAAGCCTGAAAGTCATGTCAGTATACTTACATAAAGTCCCTGAAATTATCGACAGATGAGTAAAAGTTATAATTCACTTTTCAGAACAGGTTTTCATGTGTGTGATTAGAGAGAAGTGACACATTCACATATGGGATCAAGAGGATGAGAGTGGAACTGTTGCTAGCTGTTCTAATGGCCACTACACTGTCTAATAAAATGAGCCAAAAAAGTCTAAAAGCAGAGACTGACTATAGTGACAGCTGTAATATAATGAGAAATTTCATTCACAGTGCAAATAATCATTTCTTGCAAGTCAAAGTCATGGCTGTTTTTATTCATTGGCAAGTGAGGCAGTAGTCTAAGGCACGACCAGGTGGAGGGGCATCAAAGAGGACAAAGGATTAGATCCATAATGCTCTTAAAAGTCTATCACTGATGTCCAGTGCACCATTTATATTATTAAAAAGAGAAGGAAAAAAGCATATCACACTGCACTAACTGATACTGAAGGGAGACAACAGACAGATTTTAGAGGGGGTCATGTCCTATGAGCTGTTCGCTGCAGTTTTTGTGACTTTGTGATTCATTTGTTCACACCACTGACTATAAATCAGGGTATAAATAGGCTGCTATACTGCATGTGCGCAAGTGTGTCCTCAACTTGAGTCATGTCATCAGTGGATCAGTAGGTTTAACAGAAGAATGATGATAAACATGAGGATCTATACCATGAAATTAAAGGAATGTCACCGATGTCCAAAGGCAGGCAAATCCAGGCATTTTGATTATGATTTAGCCATTCAGCTTTAAATCCAGGTGTTTGCTCCTGGAATGACAGCTGTCAATATTACTAATTTGTGCACAATTCAAACACCTTGTGAGTGAGTGACCCACTGACCCACCAAATATATAAAAATGGTTAGATAATGATTAGTTTCAGTTTTAGTTATGTAACAGCAGTGGCAGTAAACAATGTGAGCAGAGCAGAGTTTTGTGTCTCTTTCAGTGACACTGTACAGGTGAATACAGTTCTACAGTACTCTAATATTTTGATGTTAATTCTGAGGTTAATCAGTGTCTAAAATCTGCCCTGATATTCCTGCCAGATTCACACTGACAGCTTCTCTTTATTGATATTATAGAAAACACTGTAGGAAACAAGCATGACATATTTTTAATACTGGGCTTTTCAGCTGTGAAACATATAACATTGTTTTACTAATTTTGGCGTAGACCTACAGTATGCTCTGTATATTATTATATTGTTTATACTGAATTCAAAATAAATATTGGATGATAAAACCTGGTCAGGACAGCCATGGGCTAAATGAAACAATCATATTCATAACAGCTGGTCCTCAGTACAAAAATGATAGGGACTGTATGTAAAGTGGAGACATGAAAAACGGTGGATAATACAGATCCATACAGAGACACAGACAGACAAATAGACAGATAAATAATGTGGTCGTGTTCTGTGTCATATCCTGAACATGAAGAAAACCAGTATAAAACATAAGAGGGACTATTTTCATTTAAAGATACTGACAGATGATGAGGATCATATGACACAAAACAAGGTTGAATAACTTTGAGGTGGTAAAGTATACTAAAAATAATCACATTGGTCATTAAAATATTGCAGTGAAAAGATCAGTCCCCTCAGGGGTGACAAGAGAATATCTTGCCTAGGGCACCAAAGTGTCCAGAACCAGCCCTAGTCAATATTATCTTACCACTGATAAACACTAATTAGTGACCCTATAGATTACCAATACATGGTTAAATCAATCACATTGTGCTAATATGAATAGCCTTTAGTGGAACCAAACTGCAAGCAGACTGCATGCAGCGTGTACGTGGAGCAACAAAATTCATATTTGGCAAGAAAATCAGAAGATGTTTAACATGGCCTCTACACTAAATTTTAATACAGAGGTCACTTGTTTGAGAAAGCGAACTTAAAAGTAAAAGAAGTTTACTTTTTACAACCAGTGACAGATACAAATTTGGTCTATGTGACTAAATGCAAATGAGAGACAAACAATTTAAATAGCAAAATCTGTGCTTTGAAATCTCACAGCTGATGGAATTGTGTTTTGTAAGCTTCAAGTCTTCTCCCCCTGCTCGATAAAATGACCGCCACTATCAGCTGACAGTGAATGTCATTGCTGATGAATGGTGAAAATTGTACCTTGAAGTTCTGGGTAATTGAATTTGTAAATGTCATCATATTACCCTATAAAATGATATGCAGATTCAGAGGGGATTGCAATTTACAAAAGAGTCAAACCACTATGAAACTTCCTGCTCACAGACACTCATACTCAAAGACAGTGTCACTAACCCAGTTTCCTATTTCACATTACTTGTGGCATTGCTGCTTCTGCCTCAAAGGAAGTATAGCAGTCTGACTACAAACCTCTGATGATATTTTGTTTCAAAGACACTGTGAAATGCTCCTCACACTGACTGATTATTCTAACATCTCCATGACATGCCCTGCTAGGATTTAAGTATCTCTGACAAAGCTTCTCACAGTAAGAGGAAAACCGATGAGGCATATTCATCCACAGAATAGTGGAAATGGTGAAAAGCATAAAACTATACTATGTGAAGCATTGTTTCTCAGACTCTCTGAGGCACGGGTGACAAACTACAGAGATTTTACATTTATACAGTTTAAATAAATATAGCAGGGAAATAGCAAAGCGGTGTATAAAAACTTTGTAAATACAAAAATTATTTTTTTGATATTTCAGGGATTGTGCTAAATCTACATTGGTGAATAGCACAATAATAACAAGCCCCAGAGCAATCTGAGTTTCTGAGATTTCTCCTCAAGCTTTAAGCAGTGAGATCAAAATAATTCAAAAAGCACTGCTATGTAGACCGTACATGTGTCTGAACTATGTAGTATCTGTCTGGTATTGCATTTACACACAGAGAGGGATGCAGATGCAACCATGATTATGTATTGTCTTGCATACAGCATCAGGCCACTGTGGAGGGACAAAAAATGCATATAGTACCAATATTTAGGGGGAAGAGTATTTTGGTCATGAGCTCCTGAAGTCTTGTGTCTACATGCAATACTTTACTGCTAGTCACATTTCTAAAAAGATGTCCTGAAGACATGAAGAAACAAAAAAAATAAATAAAATAAAAACCTTAGTACTTAGTGGGATGAAAACTATTGTGCAGACACAAAGAACAGGAGACACTGACATGAAAATTCCAATGTCTAACCTTTTTGGCTGTCGATGACAAAGTTGCCCTCCTCATTTCCTGTGGTGATCTTATACGTGATCCCATCCCCATCAGGGTCCTTGGCCAGCACTGTGGCAACAAGTGTGTTGGGGCCCGCATCCTCGGAGACAAATGTTCGATATCTAATAAGACACATATAAACACATAATCAACACCTAAAGCTATACTCATCTGCTGGAGGTCATGTTCTGATGTGGCGGTAAAGGTGCAAATGAGACACATTCAACAAATTTCTGTCACTGTTTAAAATCAATTTTATTTAAATCATGTTTGACCAGTAGGTCAATGCCTCAACAGCAAGAAAAAAGGATGTTCATATGCCAACATGTTGCAATATTCATAAAAAATATAGTTACATAGGAATCACAAGTGTGTCACAAGAAAATCCATGTGCACTACTTCTCCGCTCAGTATACATTATCCTTGGTGGATTCAACTAGGGCAAATAAACATAAAAGGGATATTATTTACATACTTAGAAAGAACTAAAAATAAGACAAACATGCAACAACTCTAAGGTGGCAGACATTAGTGACCTTAAGGTTAAATCACACTGCATGTGAACAGCAGCATACAGAGCTCAGAGTCGTTAAGATAGAAGAGATGCAACACTGAGGGGTCAAAAATGGCAGCAGGTCATGTGACTCATGGAACTTAGATAGTGCCAAACAGTTGATTAAGATCTATTGTTTTCTGAAGGGGACAGTGTGATTTATCAATAAATTACTGCTTTTAATAAACTGCACAGCCTTGCAAATTAATTGTGTATTCTGTTGTCGTAGATAGCTCAGCTAATTTAGCTAGGTACCTAATAATTAAAGTGGCCCAATATTTGAGACAGAGTCTCAAAGTTGTAAAAATGTGTTTTGATACATGTCGCTAACTTAAAATGTCAAGTACAATTATTGCTATTGATTTCAGCTTTTTATTTTGGAAAATAGCAGCCAAGTCAGTGTAACTTTATGGCACTACTGCTAATGTCTGGAACTATTCAACATTCCAATGATCCATCAATGCTGTAAAAATGGTCCTTATAGAGCCAAAAGAGATGTTGCCACTCTCCTTCTTAATACACTGACAGAACTACAGTAGGGCAGAACCCATAATAATTATTCAAAATGTACTTTTAGATTCAGTTGTGGTAGGCATCCTAGGGGAAAGCTACAACTGACTACTGCACTGACTGCTCTGCGGTCGTGATTCTGATCTTTATTCAGTCTGTTTGTTTTTACTTTCATTTTATGTATTTTATCTAATTTAAACAATGTTTTATTTGTATTTTGCCTTAACTGATTTTATTTTGTTAATTATGTTTAATAATATTAATGTTTCTCTTTGCCTACAGTGTGTAGACCAATTTGAATTGGCTTTGTGTATAAAACATACATAGATACATAAATAAAGCTGCTTTACCTTCCCTAGTAAACATCATGAAATAGAGGAAAAAAACACAGAGGAAGTTTTCCACCAGGAGACCCTCCATCTCACCTTCCATTATATAATACCTGCAATCTAACAACTTTCAGAGTGACAGAGTGAGAACATGGGGCAGGGTCACAGTGGTACAAACTAGCTTCGTACAATAAAACATCCCACGGTAAGCAGGAGTGCTTCTCAACGCAGCACTCACTTTCTTGGCTGTTTTGGCCACTGGCCTGCATTCACTCTCATGGAAGACATTCGGAATGGCTGAACTCTAATCAGATTTTAAAGGTGTATGTCTATTGCTGGCTTCTAAACCAGTGGACAAGTGGCGGGGAAAGAAGTACATCCTTGAGGAGGCACAGGAAGAAAATATCATCTAAGCTAGCCAATGCTTTTACAATTCTGGTTAAAGCTTTTAAGCATTTCAGTGATGCTTTCAGAGGAATTCTTCAATAAAAGCAACATAAGCACATACAGTATTTACGCTGTAAAGTGACCTTCTGCTTAGCTGCTTCTAAAACAGTGTGTATGGAATATCTATTATTATGATATAGCAAAGACTAAATGCATAAGTACACCAATACAGATAGAACAAATAAGATAATACTATATACTACAAGCCAAGGTTTGGACAGATTTTCTCATTGAATGGGAAAGTGTGTGCCTTGGGTTGCTTTTTTTTTTTTTTAAATCAGCCCAAGTGTACCAAACTGAGTTCAGCTTCTTGCTCTGAAAGTCTTCTTCAGTTTTGTCTTCGTAACTTTGTGCAGCATTATGAATTCAGCTTTGAATTCTTTTTTGGCCTTACACATACATCTGAATCACCGATGTGCTTGAAAGCAAAACTCTTCTGGAAAGGATCACCTTTTGACATGAAGTTCACACTCTACATTCTTCATTCCCTGGTTCAACATAAAGAAGTTCCTTGGCACCAGGGCAAAGACATTTTAATAATGTACTAATAGAGCAAATCTTGGTATAACTATTAACTTTTTGTTAACAGTAAGAAGTGGGAAGCAAATATTTGTTAGTTAGTGAATTAGAAATGAGAGCTTACAGGTTTGGCAGCTTAATGAACTATGATGATTAAAGCAATACCATACCACCAATATTAGAAAAGTCCATTTTGTACTGCATTACATTTTATTTAAAAGAAATGAAGCAACCTAACTGAGTATAAAGCTGGGATGACTTGTTTCTAAATTTGTTCCTAACTGCCAGACAAGTACATGTCAGTATTTAACATATGAAAAGATGCAGAGCAGATAAAGAGAGTTGGTCACTGCTAGGATATCAAGACAATGCTATTTCATTTTTGAAAGTTCTTGTCTCTGGGGGTTTTGTTGCCACCAAAATACCCAGGCAGTGAAATGAATTGGATGTTTTGTGTTCACAGGACTGAAAAAATGTATTTACAGTACTTTATATCAAGTTGTCTTTAGTTACCCAGGAAAATCCACATACGGTTTTTACTGTAGGAGAGAACTCTGCTGGAAAATTGTTTTCAATTACAGATAGATTCCCACTAAGAGGGAAAATGTCATTTGGACTAACTGACTTCTAAAGATACTATAATGAATTACTTTTCTTTTCAGTTGCTAGAGTCCAGAGAGACTCTAGTGAAGCTGGTTACTGCTAATCTGACACATAGCACTAATGTTACATGAATAACTCCCAAATTAAAATCATATTAATTCAATGGAAAAGTAAAATCATGGTCATGCTCGGTCACTAAAGCTACCCAAATAATCATGTTAGCTTTAGACACTACATCCAGAAGGAAGAGCATCACATATTTAGGAAATTTGAGTTCTTTGACTGTTTTGAAAAAGGATTCTCATAACCTTTGCTAGGTGGCAGGTGGTGCTAATTTACAGACCATATTTTGACAACACAGGATAGAGAAGCTGTAATAACAATAGAAGGGCTGTAGGGAGCAAACTGCCTTGGAGGGGTGAGTATAGCGGAAAATCATCACATCCTGAATCAGAATCAGAATCTGCTTTATTGGCCAGGTGTGTTGGACACACAAGGAATTTGACTCTGGTACATCGGCTCTCAATGTGTATGTACATATCCCCATGCAAGGGGCAAGTAAACAGTAAACCAGCATAAGGCTGTGGAGTATAACAAAAAAAATAATAAGCAGTATTAACAAGCAGTAACCAGTGTAAACAATGCAAAATAAGCAGTATAAACAGGCAGTAAACATTGCAGACAGACAAGAAATGCTCATTGTGAAATGGGATAAGTAGGAATAAAAACACAGTACTTAAAACTAGAGACCTGTACAAATCTGTATAATCTGTACGAGGTATATTTACAGGTATTGCACTGAGGGTCATTTGTCCAATGCAGCCATACTGTCGTTGGTTAAGTGTTCATCAGAGTGATGGCCTGGGGGAAGAAACTGCCCCATTTTCAGTTTATTTATTAGGCAATGTGTAAAACATTAGATCATACAACTTTTAAAAGACTGAACACTGTGATCATGCCTTGTACTTTCTTGTATCACTGTGACTGTCAGACTACAACCCCAAATCAGATAAAGTTGGGACGATATGTAAAATCAAAATTAAAACTGAAAATAGTGATTTGTAAATAATCTGTCCTGTATTACATTGAACACAAGAGAACAGCATATTATTTGATTTGATACCTCCTGAGTTTTATTCTTTGTTCAAAATAAACACAAAGTTGGGACAATAAAGCATGTACCACGTTGTGATGTTGCTATTCCTTTTCACAACACTTAAAGAGCCCATGGCATGCTTTTCCTTGTTTTGTGATTTATCTACAATGTTACAAAGATGAATTATCATCTTAGATGTAACCTAAAGCTCAAAAAATGATGTGCACTTATGTTCTAGTATTTCTATGCAGAAGCAACATGTCTCGCAAACTCTTGCTGGTGGGACATTTTTCTAACAATATAAAGTACAGTTTAAAGATTTCCATGAATGGTCATAATCTCTGGCCAGTTATGTGTTCATGTGAGCTTGCCTGACATCCACTGGCGCCATTGTAAAAGCAGAATTTTTTGACTGCGCATGGTTTTGTGGATATATTTTACCTCCTGCTGCCTGCACTGTGACCAGAGGATATGGAGGAAAATACAGGGCCTGAAGTTACTGCATGTCCATGAATGTTCATGTTTTACCTGACTGGGTCTAACGTGACGTGAATGGAGCAATTTGAATTTGAAAATGTGCCATACGTTCTCTATTGGGGACAGGTCGGGACTGCAAACAGGCCAGTCCAGCATTCACACCCTTTTCCTCCACAGCCAGGCCTTAGTAATGTGTGCAGTAAAAGGTCTTGTACTGTCCTGTTGAAATATGCATGGGTGTCTCTGGAAAAGACATCATCTTGAAGGCAACATATGTTGCTCCAACATCTCTATGTACTTTTTAGCATTAATGGAGCCATCACAGATGTGAAAGTTACCTTTGCCATGGACACTGACACAACCCCAGACCATGACAGACCCTGGGTTTTGGACTTGTTGCAGGTAACAATCTGAATGGTCCCTTTTGTCTTTGGTCCAGAGCACATGGTGTCCATTCCTTCCAAAAAAGACCTGGAATACTTATTTTTGTGACCAAAATACACATTTCCACTATGTGATGGTCCATCCCAGATGCTCCCAAGCCCCAGAGCAGTTGACTATGCTTCTGGACATTGTTGATATAGGGCT